ACATAGTCAAAATGGTTCATAAGTTTTATTGACGATCACACCCGTGTGAGTTGGGTCTTCCTCTTGAAAGATAAGACTGATGTTTATCATACTTTCGTTGACTTCTATCACATGATCCACACACAATTTCAAACAAAAATTTAAATTGTTCACACTGACAATGGCACTGAATACTTCAACACCAACTTGTCATCCTTCCTTAGAGAACATGGCATCCTCCATAAAAGTACCTGTCCACACACACCTCAACAAAATGGCATTGCCGAAAGGAAAAACCGCCACATCCTAGAAACTGCCAGAGCCATCATGTTTAGTAGCAATGTACCCAAATACCACTAGGATGATGCCATTCTCACTGCCACCTTCCTCATCAACCGGATGCCTAGTAAACCCTTGTCATACAAAACACCCTTGCAGGTCCTTCACACCCACTACAACCTCCCTTACTTGGAAAATACATTGCCTCTCCGTGTGTTTGGGTGTACCTCCTATGTTCACATCCATCATCAACACAAACTTGATCCTAAAGCCATCCGTTGCATCTTCCTGGGCTATTCCAGCACTCAAAAGGGGTACAAATGTTACGATCCTAACTCCAAACGTCTTTATGTTACATGTGATGTCACCTTTCATGAAACCATTCCGTTTTACTCCCAGTCTTCAATTCAGGGGGAGCATTGGAGTGAATCTCAGACTGATAAAGAAACCTTAGGCCATAAACCTGAAAAACTTGACACTGAGCTCCTATTTGACCCATTCCCTATCTTTCAAGATCCTGAGAGTGAACCAATACCCACAAGTAATAAGGAGGTTACGGATTTAGGGGGAGACACATCTAAACAAATACAAACCTATGCACGGAGACACAAGACAGGTACTGTTCCTCAAGCTACTGAAATAACCCATGACTCTGAACCAGAAGCAGGTCCCGACCAAATGCAACATGAAAGAGAAGAGGTTACAGAAAGACAGGAACAAAATGAACTTGACCTGCCTATTGCAGTCCAGAAACAACCCAGAACATGTACTAGACATCCTATTGAGAGGTTCGTTTCTTATCAGGCCCTCACATCAAAATATTGTGCTTTTGTCTCTCACCTTGATAATGTTAGAATCCCAAATGACATAGAGGAAGCCCTAGCCCTCCGGAATGGAGACAAGCAGTTATGGAAGAAATGAAAGCCTTGGAGAACAACCGTACTTGGGATATAGTTGACTTACCAAAAGGAAAAAAGGCAGTAGGATGCAAATGGGTGTTCACCCTAAAATACAAAGCAGATGGCAGCCTTGACAAATATAAAGCGAGACTCGTAGCCAAAGGATTCTCTCAAGTATACGGCATGGACTATACAGAAACATTTGCTCCCGTGGCAAAACTAAATACTATCAGAATTCTATTCTCACTGGCAGCAAACCTAGATTGGCCACTCTACCAGATGGATGTAAAGAACGCATTTCTCAATGGTGAATTGAGGGAAGAAGTATATATGAAGTTACCCCCAGGATTCCCTGGCAGAAAGGCAAGCCAAGTGTGCAAACTAAGGAGGTCGCTGTATGGACTGAAACAGTCTCCTCGAGCATGGTTTGAAAGGTTCACTGGTGTCCTCAAGACACAAGGATTCAAACAGGGACAGAGTGATCACACTATGTTCTTCAGGCATCTAAATGGGAAAATCACAGTACTTGCAGTATATGTGGATGATATCATGCTTACAGGAAATGACCTATCAGAGATTGATCGTATCAAGGGGGCTCTAAGTAAGGAATTTCAGGTTAAGGACCTAGGAGAGATGAAATATTTCCTAGGAATGGAAGTGGCTAGATCAAAGAAGGGAATCTACATCTCACAAAGAAAATATGTCCTAGATCTCCTAAAAGAAACTGGGATGTTGGGGTGTAGGCCAAGTAACACCCCCATACGTACAGACAAGATTGGGGATGACGAAGACCTAGGAAAGACAGTTGACCTAGGAAGATACCAGCGAATGGTGGGAAAACTAATATATCTATCTCACACACGACCAGACATTGCCTTTGCTGTAAGTGTGGTAAGCCAACACTCACATAACCCAAAACAGAAACATCTGAATGAGGTGTATAGAATTCTAAGTTACCTAAAAGGTTCACCAGGACGTGGTCTCCTCTTCAAGAAAAATGGCCAGCGGAACATTGAAATGTTCGCAGACGCAGATTGGGCAGGTGATCAGGATGATCGAAAATCAACTTCGGGATATTTCACATTTGTCTGGGGTAACTTAGTCACATGGCGCAGTAAGAAGCAAAATGTGGTGGCCAGAAGCAGTGCTGAAGCAGAGTTTAGGGCCATTGCCCTTGGAATTTGTGAGGGTATATGGGCAAAGCGAGTACTTGGAGAACTTAAAATAGGTGCAAACCTGCCTATAAAACTTTACTCCGACAACATGGCAGCGATCAACATCTCCCATAATCCCGTCCAGCATGACCGGATGAAACATGTGGAAATTGATAGACACTTTATAAGAGAGAATATTGATAATGGATTGATTGATCTCAGGTATATACCTTCAAGGGAGCAGACTGCTGATGTCCTCACAAAGGGACTTCCCAAAGACAAATTCGAATTTCTCATAGGCAAGTTGGACATGATTGATATCTATGCTCCAACTTGAGGGGGAGTGTAGAATATGCTGCGGATTATTAGGAGAAGATATAGCGATTTAATTGTAGATATGGGTAGAAGATATTAGGGATATTATTTCCTTTTTTACGTTGATTGTAATCGCATGAAATCAGGCCACATTGATCGGCCCTGTACATCTCCTCTGTGTATATATTTGACCGGATACTACAATGAATATACAGAAGAATTATTTCAGCATTCGAGAGTTGTTACCTTCTACAGTTATGCTTCTGAGTCCTGGTTCCTTTCATGATCTAGTCACAGTTGGTTGCTTCTTCGGGGACCAGGATCACATCACAAGATTTGGTCCTAGGACAATGCAGTAACCTAAGGTGCTGCTTCTGTCAAATCTAAAATCTTTGCTCTTCCAATGAGCAGACCATGATCTTGACCATATAGGAAACCTCTGGCCATTAATCTAATCATGTCATCTGTAAGATCATCATCACCAAATCTCTTGTGAGATTTGCCTAATGCACAAGCTCTGTAACAAGAAAAAGAAAGTTGGGAATTTAAACACCTTCCATATTTGCATTTCATGAAACGTTTTCCATTATTCCAAAAGAGAGAAAGAGAGTCGGGTAGCATTAGATGCCTGATAGATGATCAATTGTCACTTGTCAGGTGTGCTTCAAAGAAAGGACGCACACCCGCATACATATTAAAATCAGCTGGTCCATCTCAACATGTTTGGATACGGGCTTAAGACTTTCAAATTTAACTCACACTTGAATCAAGCCTCTCCCTCAAAAGAGGGTCCATGCTTCCCTCTTTCCCTTTTCCATGGTTGATCTGCTTTGATACCATTTTTAAGACCTGAGAATCCTAAGACTTACAAAATCTTCATTGAACTTTCTTCATGAAACTTTCGGAGCATATACTCAAGGACTCGACATTAAATCATGTTTTAAACCTCATGGCATTAGGTCTATATATCCTTTCTACTTATAAAATCCTGTTCTAATTCAATTCCGTCCAATGTTGATCTTTTTCTCACTTTCACCCTTGAACCCAACACAACAGCCAATAGAAATTGAAATTTCACCAACCACTATGATCGCGCAAACTTGCATCTCTCACTTCGATTTGTCATACTTAAATTTTGTACTAGTTGAAACTTCTCCAAAACTAAATTCAACTGTACCTAAAATTGATATCCTTGGGATTACATTATTTCAAATTTTCTAAAATAAAATTGCTCCATCTTTATTTCCTGAAAAAATCAACCATTGAACTGACATCTAAATCCAACCATTTGACTGCTCCTACCTTATTTTTCTATAGATGGTCATAGAAATGTAACTCTCTACAAAGCACATATATCAGCTATTAGGTTCAAAAATTACTACTCCCTCCGGTTCTAAATATAAGACCCATTTTGTAACACTACAAAATGGATCTTATATTTAGGACCAGAAGAATATAATATAGCTGGGTTTTCACTAGTTAGAACCATATTCCCTACCAAACTTCAGTTTTTCATGTTTGAGAGGATTGAATTCATTACTTAAACTAGGACCAAAAGACAATAATCAGAGAAAAAAGGAAAAGGGTCATTGGAAATGGAAAAAGATCTGGGACAGAGTCAATGGAGCCCCATAGCCCACTTCCTCTTCCCTTTGCTTCTGCTTAATCTCTTGTTAACAATATACCGTGGATAAAAGCTGAAGTTAATTCATACTAAAACACTACAATGGCTCCCATTTCATCCTTAAGAAAAGTCATAATAGCCTCATGTTCAGTTTTAAAGATATATAAAAAGTACAAGCTGAATCCTGACTAAATAAATTTGACTTGCACTAGACTTTCAAAGTTTTTTGTAAGAATCAAGTAACTTTGCACCATTTGATACTTCTATGTGTCATGGACATCTTGTGCTTCATTACATTTGACACGTAATACACTCAAACTGAGCTGTCCAAAGCATTGCCCAAAAAATTAAGAATAAAGAACTACACTGTCCAAGCTATTATATAACCAACTATTGCTGACGTAGCCTCCAGTGCCTTATTTGTAGTCATATCAGTCATTCTCTACGAAATCAAACTTTTACTAATTGATGAAATGGATGTGCGACGATGGCAATTCCAACAATTTTCACCTCCATTCAAATAACACTCCTATCACCATTACCATTTCAACAACATATTTCAAACAACTAATGCCAATTTGCATTTACAGACAAATATGCTCTTTGATCCTATTTCCTCACATGTTTTTAAAGACAAATAGATCAATTATTATTCACAATGCATTCTTCTTACCTAGTCAACTAATCAGAAACATTAGTAAGTGTTAAAATGATCAAGCAGCAAGTAGCAAATCCTCCAGAAAGGTATCTCTAAACCAGCAAAAGTCAACATACCTGTCTTGATAACCTTCTGATTTCTTGATTAAGAATTACACTAAAGAGATTCAGGTCTTCATGGTTTCTCCTAGGAAAATAAAAAAGTGTCAATTTTAGTATAAAGCTCATTCAAAGTGACATAATGACTTAATTCATGACTTAAAGTATATTTGGGAACCTGTTCACGAACTTCAATTCAATCTCATCTGCTGCACCAAATATAGATTTACGGAATAGCCTGGATGACTAAAGAAAAAGTCAAACCAAGGTAACAAAACTTGAAAGTCTATAATGAAATTAATAGCAATCATACACCTGAACTACAACTCAAGCAATGGAAGCATGAGACCAATTTCACAAATCTGAATACTGCTTTTCTAAAGGGCAGCCTAAGATACAGTCCACCAACACAATCCATGCATCAGATGAAAGAAGTTGAATAAACTTCAAGTGCAGAGAAAAACATGGCTTGCTACAAACCTATCAACCATACTTTTTGGTAGCACTTATCTTTAAGACATCAAACACATATGAGGAAAGGTGAAGGATTTAAGTTCCAGAAACTAGTTCAAGCATTTTGTTCTCTGTCATAAGCTTGTAACTGTCTTCACATACAGACCAAATTTCCCCCTTGACATTTAGATTTATTCTGTACATGTTGAGACCATCTTACGTAACTCTCCCCCTATATTGCCCTTCTCTTTAGACAAAGAAAATTATTTTTCTTCTCCTTACATCTATGTTGAAATTTCATTCATTCATTGAGTTTATGTGTATGGGGGAAAACGTAGTTTTACACTGGTTATCAAGAAAACAAAACCCACTCTCTCTCTCTCTCTCTCTACACCCACACACGCACACGCACACGCACACATCAATGTGAAGAAATAAGAATAGCACTAATAAGGACGGTATGGTTGGTGAAGGGTCAACTTGTTTTCAAAGAGAAATTTCACTTAATCACTCTATGTAACAAGTATACAACCGCTGAAGGAAAATAATGACGCTTAAAGAAACTAAAAGAAGTACATGTTTATATATATAAAAGAAATGTCCACACCTATCATCCCATCGAGAAAGGCGGCATGCAAGCTGTGCTATAACTTCATGGACTGTTCTGGGCACGTTGTACCCTCCTGCAGAAAGAAGCTCCTAATCAAAGCAAAGCATTGAAGCTATGAAATCAAAAATATTACTACCCATTAAAAGAATATGCCAAGCAAGAACAACCTGAACTTCTGTGATTCCCAGAACATTTACACTCGGAACTGATCCTTTTACATGCATTACGGTTACTAGGAAGTTTTGAGCTTGCCAAGACCTAAGTACAATGGGGATGTCATCTTCATCAACAAGAGGGTCACCAACCGATTGTCCCAAGAGCTCAAATAACAGCCCCCCAGCAACTCTGACAGGGACCTACTTAAATTATAATTATAATTAATATCAAGGGAAAAAGGTATAAAATTTATTGTAATGCCGTGTTACAAATATTATTACTAATATGAAATCCAAAAGGATCCCTTCTACTCCTCCGGTGTTAAATGTAAGACACACTACAAAATGGGTCTTATATTTAGAATCAGAGGAGTACCATCTATAATATCATAATTGATGAATACCCATAATCACCACTATAGATCATTTGTTGAGGTTTATTTAGGCATTAATTGTCATTGTAACATAAACTTTGATTAAAAATAAAACTATAGAAAATTTTCAATCCCTCACAAAGTCCCCAGACACAATTACTAACTGTGAACTGTGTTGCAGATGTTCTGTATCAGCTCATAATTACTTAGGCTATTACTAATGTGCATCTAAATGATCAGTGTAAACTAGATTAAGTGATAGAATAGATTGCAAGATGATTTACATGTAAGACTAGTAATCACGTATAGGATAAGTAATTAAAAGGTAATATACCTCATACAAGAGATGTTTCATCCGATCACTTATCAGCCGACTTTCATCTCTCAAAGCCAAACTAATGGCAGGATGTAACCATTGAGCATTGCTGAGCCAAGCTTCAATGTTTGGGTGACCTGCAGAAACATGGCACCACCATATAGGCCCAGCAGGACGCTCCCAATAGGGAGCTGCCAGATCAGCCACAGTGCGATCATCTTCCTCATCAACAAACTCAAAGTGTTGAGAGGACCAGACTGTATCAACCTGAACTTTCTGGACGAGTTCGGAAATCCTTGCCCATCCAATTGGCACCCAATGACTACCATCATATTTTTCTGTGACATCGGATTGACTAAACTGAAGGACCTTGCGGTCCTTTTCATCATCTATGGCATGTAACCTACTGCCCCTCAAGTCATTTGCAGATGACAAATCTGATAACTTGTTTCCATATAACCTCGGGGAAGAGGAATCTATCAGATCATTTAAAGGATCAAGCATTTTTGAATATTCACCTTCCATTTGTAATCTATCTGAGGTCCTTGATGAGTGCTTTGACTTAATTGATCTTCGCCGACCTCGAACAAATTCAAATGCACAAATAAGACCATCAGTCCAAAGGTCATCTCCAGGATTGGGATCTCTACTGTGATTGGTTCTACAGTTTTCTGGATTCGTACGTTTCCCCTGGGAATTTGGGTCGTTCACTGTGTCACTCATTTTATCTTCACCTTTGGACATATAGAAAACCAACCACACTTATCAAGGCAGATTTTGGAGTACAATCTTCACAGGACCTGTCACTCTTTAATCAATGAATGGTTTCAATAGTGATAATCACAGTGATTAATATTTGACCGCCAACAGAAAGCTTTCCAGGATTATCAACAAATAATGCTGCAAGTCAAACAGAAACATGTGTTAATATTCTACTTCAGATAGCTCATATATTAAACAAATGAGAATCAGGAGAAAGGGTGAAAGAAAACTAAACTAAAATGACCAATGCTTCCCACACCTATGACAAGCACATAAAACTAATTCAATTAATTGCAGTAAGAGGTTTCACATAAAAGTTCTAAGAACGTGTCTTAACTTTTAACCACATGAACTTCTTTGTGATTACGTATCTGCGGAGACGAGAGACAAACAAGGGTATACATAATAAGCATATTTTTTAAAGACCTACTCTCTCGCGCGCGAGCATTCGGATCACCACTTTAACATGTTCTTACAATACTTGACAACCGTCCCGTGTCCAAATTAATGAGAAGAATAAAAACAGAATAGGGAAAATATAACTTCATGCGCCTCGATAATTCAATCAATAAGTAGTCGAGTAAATAACGAACACAGATACCATCCAGACACCATGAACTAAGGAAAATCAAGTAAATTCCATAAACATAGAAACATATCAGCATAATTGGCAGCGAGAATAAGATGCAAGAAGAGGACATAAACACAAGCATTCTCAGTCTTACAAGTCGAAACTATGGCTCCGATCTTGTCAGCGGAAGGAATATCATGTTGATGATAATAATTACCAAGGAGACAGTCCAGAAAGGTGTATGAGAAAAGAAAAAGGAATTAACCCGAAGAATGTGAAGAGTAAAGATTAAAGAATGAGATACTTCCAAATGCTGAGAGGGGCTCTCCGGAAAAAGAAGAGAGAGAATAATATGCAGTGGGGGGTACACAGTGTCGGAGCAGACAGGGAAAAAAGGCTGGGGGCGATGTGGATTGCTTTATTCAGTTATTCGCGGCAAAAGAAACACTCTTGCGTATTTATCATGCCAAGATTTGGATTCTTTATTTCTCTTTTTCTCTCCTCTCCCTCCCCCCTGACACTCTACCAACCCATTTGAAAATGTAATCTCTCTAACTGCTCATCAATATTGTCAATGTTTACCGGCAAAAAAATATATATTATAAATAATTTTAAACGAGAAAAATTGCAATAATGTCTCACTTAAAAAATTAAATATAAAAAGATCTTCTAAATATTAAATTATTCTGAAGTCTTAAAGCACCTCATTACAAAGAATTTATTTATTTAATTATCAAATTACTTTTTTTTTAATATATATTGATAACTGAAAAATAGTCGTTAATAATTTAAGATGTAAGAATTAACAACTATCACGATAGATATTAACACCCCATATATTTTTTTTGTGATATACTGAGAAAATATGTTGTTAATACTTGACACGATAATTGTTAATCGTTACACCTTAAATTGTTAATAATTGCGCTTTCAGTTATCAATGTATGTGCTTGAAGAGAAATAAGGACAATTTAGTAATTAAACAAATAAATTCTCTTAAAATGAGGTCTCTTAAAACTTCATAATAATTTGATGATTTTAAGAGATTTTTATATTTAATTATCTTGGATAAGACCTTATTACAATTTTTTCTTTTAAATTTTGTATCATACTCAAAAAAAAATGTGGGCTTGAATTAGAAACACCATGAAGAAGTAGCAGCCCCAAAAAGGAGACAAAATTTGCCAGAAAAGGTAAGATACGATGCTAAAAAACGTATTTGGATAATTTTTTTTAATTCACTTACTTCTTTCTTTTTTTTCAGAAAATTAATATACAAGTCCATGTAGTTTTACCTGACTTCTAATGAGGTATTTGGGTGTTCTTTTCTGCATCCTTCATCTGATTAAAATATGTGGAAATCAGTTGAAACTACAAGAATATAATAAAAAAATTGTAGGAACTTTGTTAAAACTCAGGTAAACTACATGTAGAGTGTAGACATGCTATAAAAAAACTACATAAACCTCATTAAAAATCAAGAGAAGCTAGAGAGACTTGTTAATTTTTTTTATTTTCTATTTTTGTTATTAATTGCGATGAAGAGATTAACTTTAACTTGAGTTACAGGAAAAGACTTTAAAGTGAAAAGGTTTCTGCTTCTTGAATAGAAGTAAACAGAATATATACCCTACAATTTTGATAAGAGGTAAGTAATTTTGATTTCTTGTTCCCAGAATTTCGAACTTCACTTTCATCATACGAAAACTTTTTCTCCGACCTTTGCATAGATGTTCAATTTTCATTCATCCATCAACATAATTATTCGAATCCAAACCATTTATTTTTATCATTGCGTTGTATTAATCTTAAAGATGTTCGCATAAGTTTCAATTATATATACTCCAATTCTTAATACTAAACCTGATCCTTAATATAAGAACTCGTTTGATTTTTATTTTGGTTCTAAATATATGACTCCAGTCCACTTTGTCCCTCATATTTATCCATTTTTTTTCAAATTAGTCCTTATAATAATGATAGTTCTAGTTAATACACTTGATTAGCAAAGATATTTTTAAAAAGACAACACCTATTTATTACAAATAACTAATTTAACTAGTTTTTTAAGTCTATTTAAATTAGTCAACTAGCTTTTATATTAAGGATATGAGATAGTATAACAGTTAGACATGAATGATTTCGTTTGGTTATATACTCAATTTTTTTCCAACAAATACTCAATCCATTTTGGCGTTCAAAATATAAAATTTTTTCATAACTTTTCCTAAAAAATAAAAATTGCATGTATTAGAGGAATTTTTCATCGAGAAAGTAATTTTTATGAAAATAATTAAAAAGGTTTTTAAGAAAAATCAACACACATCTTTGATGAATAACTAATTTAATTAATTGTTAATTATAGTCACTGCAAATCAATTATCTAACTTATACATTTAATATCACGTGAACTGTTTTCTTATAAATTGGGCGTTTTCTAAATTACAATGTCAATAATTTGCAAAAATTGAAAATTCTGTGCGTCACATAGATCACCGTTATTAATAAGCACCATTTTTTCAAAAACCGTTTTCAAATTGCAACTCCGAGGACTTGTAGAGCATCGAATAAAGTTGATAAAAATTCCATAATCGTGTCCACATCATCTTGTTTTTCTTGAATAATTTAAAAATTAGAGCCAGCAAGCAATCTATTTTTCATGTATATGTGTGTGTGTCATTTCATTTTGTAGGATATATGCATTTTGAACTCACTACTAAAAAAAAAAAGTTATTTTCGTCTGTTCTGAAGATCCTTTTTTGTCTGTTTTGAGGGAGACGTAGATGAAGGAGACTGATGATGCCTCTGTCGTTAAAGCACTCAATTAAATTAGGTCCTAATTGATTTGTAGTTTAGGGTCGACTTAGGTCATTACTTCCAAGGAGCAAGTTATGGGTTTCTTTAGGTAAAAATTCAGGTGATAAAAAAAATGCAATAAATTGGACCTAAACTAAAATGCAAAATTCTAATTCTAAATGGAAAATGCAAATATCCTAAAATCTATATGAAAATTAAATTAAACTAAATAAATGCAATGCAATTTTTGGGGGGTTTTTTGAAGGAAAATAAAAATAATGAATAAAGAAAATTAATCAGAAAGCAAAGGGAATCAGCAAGTAAAAATTCAGATATTTCTCTTCAGGTACGGTAGAGGGGGCAACTTAGAATTTGCATGGATTTAACCTTCATAACCTTAATCAGTTAATCAGACCAAAGGGAAGTGATAAGAAAGTGGAATTAATAAACTTAATCACCTATTTGAAACAAAGGGAACCCTCAATTTCAAAAACCCTTAAACTATTAGAGAACTCATAACAGTATAAGGTTGGTTAATTAAGTTTATTAAAACTAATGAAAAATAACTCAATTAATTCTGGAAATTATGTTTGAAATTATCCAATTAAACAACTAGACAATTAACCAACTTAATCAAACAATCAAGAGGCAAAAGAACCCAAATTTTGCAATTTAAACCACATTGATAATTAAACTCATAATGAAAACTCAATTATAAATTCAATTAACAATGCAAAGGTTCTAAACATAAATTCCAACAAGTGTCTCAACACAAATAAGATCCAAATATCAATCCAATCCAAGCATAAAGAGGACAATCTAGAACTAAATTGTCTCAACAAAAATACAACTTAAAATTATTTAAAACTAAATAATCTTAAGTCCCTGAATTAAAAAGATAAATGGAACATCACTTCCTTATGGTCTTCAAGTGCTAGCCCAAGACTTAAGTCTCCTCCATACTCCTCTCAAGTTGCCTCCCTGTAAGCTTAAGCTTCCATCAAATTGTCTCCTCTTCCAAGGTTATTAGATGCCATAGCCATGAATTGATTGAAGTGACGGTGAGGAGTTGTACGTGGAGTAAGAAAGAAAAGGATGTGAATTGATGATGATGAGAGGTGTTGATGATCGTTGGTTGAATATGGAATGAAAAAATAAAAAATGGGAAAGGGCGTGAGGCTAGAGGAGTAGCGGTGAAAGGGGAAGATTTGACGTTGGGTTGATGATGGTGTGAATGGAGATGGAAAGAGAGTGATATTTAGGCGTGCCTCCCTCCTCCAAAAATAAAGAAAATAGTATAATGAGAGAAAAGAAAATTTTTGTGGATCCAAAACTCAAGCCCATTAGTAATTAATTGACACATTTGATATTATTTATTGGATTGTGTTTAGATTTCAAGAAACAATCTTACACCATTGGATTTCCTATGTGCCCCTTTCTTTACCTACAAAAATTTAAGTGCATCTATTAATGTAGATTATATCCAAATATAATCAAAAATTAAATATTAAATATGCACAAGAATTAGGAAAGAAAGTGCAAAACTTTCTAAAAATAATCTTTCTAAAAATATGAGACTTGTTTTCAAATAAATAGGAAAAATTAATTCCAAGTCAAAAATAGGAAATCAGAAAATATTTATATTTTTAATCCAAAATCTCAATTTTTATGCAAAATCCAAAAATCAACTAATTTATCCAATAATGCATAAAAATCCAATTAAGCTCAAAATTATCATTTAAATCCTGAATTAATATGGGATAAAATATATAAAAATTGGGTTTTATCAGAGACGTAGATAGAAACTGAATATTCGTGTGTTAGTAAACAGACAAATATAATATAATATATTTGTCCGTTAAATGGAACAGACGAATATGAAATAGTAAAATATATTCGTCGGTTCATCTTGAACAGACGAATATATTATCCTATTTTCGTCTGTTCATCTTGAACAGACGAAAATGTTGTATATCAAAAAAGAAAAATTACGCACAAATGTGAAATTTCCTGAATTTTTTTACAGAAAATCCTGAAAATTTTTCAAAAAATAAAGTACAACCAAATTCAACAAATTCAGATTTATTTCATAATCCACAATCCTAATAACATCATTACATAATAATTCAATAGATTCAGATTCATTCTAAGAACATATACACAATCCTAAGTGTACTATCTAATCTGGAATGATGATTAGAGTCTTTAAAAATAATTTTTCAATCATAATTTATAATTTACGAGATAAATATATATATATAAAAGTTTTATCTTAGTTTATATGAACGTGCTTATAACACATGACATTTCATTTTGTAGGATATATCAATACACACAATATAATGAATCAATATTTACCACATAAATATGATGAAGCTAATAAATAAAAAATATACTCTACAAAATCATGAGTCTAACTTTTGAACAATGTGTGTTAGTAGCATTTTCAAGGGATCTTCATTATGAATTCATGGTCTTAAAAAAAAGATATGGGAACTTTGAAATACTACATTCAGGAGCC